CCGAATTCCCATTTTTTTACCCCAAATTCCCATTTTCCCTCCCCAAAATCCAGAATTCCCAAGTTTTCCCCCCAAAACCCCAAATTCCCATTTAAATCCCAGTTTTTCCCCAAATTCCTCTTTTATTCACCCAAAATCCTGGGTTTTTGTCACCAAATTCCCATTTTTTTTGCCCCAAACCCACCAAAAATTACATTTTTTCCCCCCAAATCCCGTTTTTCTTCCCCCCAAAACCCCAAAATTCCATTTTTTCACCCCAAAGCCCCCAAAATTACATTTTTTTCCCTCCAAAATTCCGGTTTTTCCCCCCAAAATTCTGTTTTCCCCCCCAAAATCCCGTTTTTTCGCCCCAAAACTCCCAAAATTCCATTTTCTCCCCCCAAATTCCACTTTTTCCCCCCAAAACCCCCAAAATCACGTTTTTTCTCCCCAAAACCCCGATTTCCCGCTGTTTTCCCTCCCAAATCCTGGGTTTTTTCCCTCCAAACCCCCCAAAATTACATTTTTCCCCCAAAATCCCCAAAATTCTGTTTTTCCCCCCAAAATTCCATTTTTTCCCAAAAAACCCCCAAAATCCCATTTTTTTGCCCCAAAACCTCAATTTCCCACTGTTTTCCCTCCCAAATCCCGGGTTTTTTCTCCCCAAACCCCCCAAAATTACATTTTTCCCCCCAAAATTACATTTTTTCCCCACAAAATTCCGTTTTTTCCCCCAAAATTCTGTTTTTTCCCCAAAAATTCCATTTTTCCTCCCAAAACCCCAATTTCCCGCTGTTTTCCCCCAGCTCTCCTGGCGGGCGCGGCCGCGGGCGAGGACGAGGAGGATCTGTTTTCCCCCAAACTCCCAAAATCCCGTTTTTTCGCCCCAAAACTCCCAAAATCCCTTTTTTTCCCCAAAAAAAACCCCCAAAATTCCGTTTTTTCGCCGCAAAACCCCGATTTCCCGCTGTTTTCCCCCAGCTCTCCTGGTGGGCGCGGTCGCGGGCGAGGACGAGGAGGATCTGGGCAACCTCTGGGCCACGGCCTCGACCTTCATCGTCCTCTTCATCCTCAGCCTCTTCTACAGCGCCACCGTCACCCTCATCAAGGTACCCGAAATCGCCCGAAATCGACCCAAAATCCACCCCGAAATCACCTGAAATCGGCCCCAAAATTACCCCAAAATCAACCCCAAAATCACCTGAAATAACCCAAAATCAATCCCAAAATCACCCAAATTAAACCTGAAATAATCCTGAAATTCATCTTCATCAAGGTACCTGAAATCGCCAGAAATCGACCCAAAATCAAGCCAAAAATCACCTGAAATCGACCCAAAATCAAGCCCAAAATCACCTGAAATAACCCCAAAATCATCAACCTAAAATCACCCAAAATAACCCCAAAATCACCCAAAATAAACCCAAAATAATCCCAAAATCACCCAAAATAAACGTGAAATTCACCCTCATCAAGGTACCCAAAATCGCCAGAAATCAGCCCAAAATCCGCCCCGAAATCACCTGAAATCGACCCCAAAATCGCCTGAAATTACCCCGAAATCGTCAACCCAAAATCACCTGAAATAAACCCAAAATAAACCCCAAAATCACCCAAATTAAACCTGAAATAACCCTGAAATTCATCTTCATCAAGGTACCCGAAATCGACCCAAAATCAACCCCAAAATCACCTGAAATCGACCCAAAATCAACCCCAAAATCACCTGAAATAACCCCAAAATCATCAACCTAAAATCACCCAAAATCAACCCAAAAATCACCCAAAATAAACCCAAAATAAACCCAAAATCACCCAAAATAAACGTGAAATTCACCCTCATCAAGGTACCCAAAATCGCCAGAAATCAGCCCAAAATCCACCCTGAAATCGCCTGAAATGACCCCAAAATTACCCCAAAATCAACCCCAAAATCACCCAAATTAAACCTGAAATAACCCTGAAATTCATCTTCATCAAGGTACCCGAAATCGCCCGAAATCGACCCAAAATCCGCCCCGAAATCACCTGAAATCGACCCCAAAATCGCCTGAAATGACCCCGAAATCGTCAACCCAAAATCAGCCAAAATAACCCCAAAATCACCCAAAATAAACCTGAAATTCACCCTCATCAAGGAACCCGAAATCGCCCGAAATCGGCCCAAAATCCACCCCGAAATCACCTGAAATCGACCCCAAAATCACCTGAAATTACCCCAAAATCGTCAACCCAAAATCAGCCAAAATAACCCCGAAATCAACCTAAATAAACCTGAAATAATCCCAAAATTCACCCTCATCAAGGTACCTGAAATCGCCCGAAATTGACCCAAAATCCACCCCGAAATCACCTGAAATCGACCCCAAAATCACCTGAAATGACCCCGAAATCGTCAACCCAAAATCAGCCCAAAATAAACCCCAAAATCACCCAAATTAAACCTGAAATAATCCCAAAATTCACCCTCATCAAGGTACCCGAAATCGACCCAAAATCAACCCCAAAATCACCTGAAATTGACCCAAAATCAACCCCAAAATCACCTGAAATAACCCCAAAATCATCAACCCAAAATCAGCCAAAATAACCCCAAAATCAATCCCAAAATCACCCAAATTAAACCTGAAATAATCCTGAAATTCATCTTCATCGAGGTACCCGAAATCGCCAGAAATCGACCCAAAATCCACCCTGAAATCACCTGAAATCGACCCCAAAATCACCTGAAATGACCCCAAAATCGTCAACCCAAAATCACCCAAAATAAACCCAAAATAAATCCCAAAATCACCCAAATTAAACCTGAAATAATCCTGAAATTCATCTTCATCAAGGTACCCGAAATTGCCTGAAATTGACCCAAAATCAACCCCAAAATCACCCGAAATCAACCCAAAATCCCTTCACAAAAATCCCCATTTTTACACCCAAAAATTCCCTTTTTTTTTTCCCCCTCTTGTTTCGGGAATTTCCCCCCAAAATTTCCAAATTTCCCTCAAAATTCATAAA